GACTATGAATTTTCAGAGCAATACAGGATACTTAAAGAGACAGCACAGCAGATGGGGCCCACTTTGAAGCTGTGATTTGTTTGGCTAAAATTCTGGACTGACCAACTGATATGGAATAGGTAAATGTGATGATTAACTGCTCTAACTGCTGTTTGTAAAACATTTTTGAGCTATTGAGTTCTGTAAACAGCAAGCTTTGGATCAGATTCTGAAAATGTGAATATTTTTCAATGTATATTTCAATTCGTACTATATAATATAGAAATTAGGGACAAAACAGCATTCTTTATCAAATGGAACACTGGGGTAACTTCTTTTGGAAACAACAATTTCACCTAGTGCCCTGGTCATTGTGGCAAGTTTATACAATGAGATAAACATCACCTCATCATAAATAATCTGTGATTACCTTAAAATGCTTTTTGCATTAAAGTGCTACTAAACCCACAACAGTAAAATCAGTCTGTATATGCATTAAAGCATACTTGTTATGCTCACTGTGTAACCCAAGGGGTTAATCCTCTGCATTGTGTAAAAAGGATGTTTGATCCTGACTTCTCTGATCCTCCCTTTCTTCCAGTGTTCCCCTCTTACCTCCTGATAAGACAAATGGTGTGGAGACACTCTGCACATGCTTGGTGTGTATTGCTAGAGAAGTTTTTTTTCTTGGGAGAGTGCATATGATCAGCACAGGGCCAATCACCACTGTGCAGACAGAGGTCAGGGATCCTGCATCCTCCTACAGCAGAATGAAAACTCCTCCTACAAGCTTCAATCAGTGTTCTGCTGAACACTGACAGAAGTCACAAGACTGCTCTAACTGCTGATGAGAAAAGGTATTTAGTAGTTTCTATTTACTAAAATAATTGCACTTCCATGTTCTGTGTACTGTAGGAGACCAGATATAGTGAATGCAGGGTCCTGGGTTTAGTAACATTTTAATGCCACTGAACAGGGAAAATATTTTCAGTCAATGGCAGCAGCTTGTTATATAGCAAAATTCTGCTTAGCTTTGTAAGGAGTTTAGAGACCCTGTCACCGACTTGAAAAATGCAAATAAAAGCACAGAAAATTTTAATATTTTCAATTCTTACCTGCAGTGTTTTCCTTTTCATAATTTGGTTTTGACTCCCATGCAAGAAAAATTCCCGTGGTAGAAAGTTTTACTACTCCATGAGGGTCAATTGCCTTGCACAGCCCCTTCCCTCCTGCTCGTCATGGCCCTCTCTTTTTCTGTCAGTGTATTTACTCTCTGATGACCCACCATCACCTCCACCCCTCCTCTCACCTCCCCCATTGATGTAGTAGCCAGGGTAGGAAAGAAGGGGAATACTATAGGGCAGCGGTCACTGAATGGTGGACCGTGGTCCGAGAACGGCATCAGCAGTGCTCCCTTCTGGACCGCCAGCCCGCAATGACAGATCTGCCACTCTGGGCAGTCGTCACAGCAACCGATGACATCGCATGTGCACCCCACCTCTTGCAGCTCACTGTCTCTCAATGCCTGTATACCAGCATCCTTCAGCAAGGATCCCGGCACAGCTCCTGTCTGCCCTCAAGGTAGGGTGTGGTCTTACAGGGGCACTCTGATGTTTTAAGGCTCATGCTGATGGGCACATTTAATGTTAACATAGAATGTGCCCATCAGAGTGTCCCTTAGCATAAAATGTATCCATCAGAGTGCCCTTTATTTTATCTTAAAAGGCACTCTGATGGGCTCATTTTATGGTAAGGGGCACTCTGATGGGCACATTTTTATGTTAACCTCTTCACGCCAGCCGAACGCAAATGTGTGGCCTCGCAGCGTCTGGGCCTAGACTCCAAGCGGCCGCACATTTGCGTTCTATTAAAAAAGAACATATGTGCTGAGAGCGCACGCCCTGCGCGCTCCCAGCACACATGTCCGGTACTCACGGAAAGGTCCCGATCTCCTCTTTCGATCAGGACCTTTCCCGATCATGTGACCTCCGTGACGGCGTGTCATGGCGGTCACATGATCCTAAACCCCGCCTCTTAGCTTATTAAAACTCTTAAAGGGCCAAGAGGCGCCGACGTGAAGGGGTTAAGGATCACTCAGATGGGCACATTTTATACTAACCACTAGCCTACAGGGCACTTATACCCCCTTCCTGCCCAGGCCAATTTCCAGCTTTCAGTGCTGTTGCACTTTGAATGACAATAGCGCAGTCATCCAACACTGTACCCAAATGAAATTTTTATCATTTTTTTGTGAGAGCTTTATTTTGGTGGTATTTAATCACCTCTGGGTTTTTTATTTTTTCTTAAACAAACCAAAAACCATAAAAAATTTTGAAAAAAAAAAAAAAAATTTTCTTAGTTTTTGTTATAAAATGTTGTAAATAAGTGATTTTTCTCCTTCACTGATGTGTGCTAATGAGGCTGCAGTAATGGGCACTGATGAGGAGGCACTGGTAGGTGGCACTGATGGGCATTGACAGGCATCACTGATGGGCACTGAAAGGCAGCACTCATATATGGCACTGATAGGTGGCACTGACTGGCAAAGATAGGCAGCACTGACGGGCACTGATAGGCGACACTGATAGGTGGCACTGAAAGGCAGCTCAGTTGGGCACTGATATGTGGCATTGATGTGGCACTGATGGGCACGGGCAGGTGGCATGGATGAGCACAGAGCTGGCACTGATGGTCACTGACAGGTGGCGCTGCTGGGGCTACACAGATCATCAGGGCACACTGATCATCAGTGCTCTGATGATCTGTGTAGATGTCCCCTCCGAGGAATGCCGATTATCGGCTCTCCTCTCGAGCTGTCAGCGTGACAGCTCGTGAAGAGAGAAATGCCGATAACAGTGATCCACTGTGTCTGAGGGACACAGCACACCGCCAATCACTGCGCACTCCCAGAGCCACGCATGCGCGGTGAGAATGGGAGGACATCATATGACGTCCTCCCAGAACGAGAGAACCACCTTGCGTCCGTCATATTACGGTTAAGGGTCACTCAGATGGACACATTTTATGGTAAGGGGGCAAAAATGGCCTTATACTGTGGAAAGGGGCACTCTAATGGGGAATATGATGTAAAGGGGTACTTTGAGTGCAAGGGGGCACTCTGATGGGAATACCTGATGTGATGGGAATACATGATGTAATGTTGCACTCTGATGGCGACACCTAATGTGATGGGGGAACCATATATAATGGAGCACTCTAATGGGGACAACTGATGTAAGGGGGCACACTGATGGGAGACACCAAATGTAAGGGGGCCTTCTGATGCAAAAAACTGATGTAAGGGTGCACTCTGATGGGAATGCTTGATGTAAGGGGGCACTCTGATGGGAATGCCTGATGTAAGGGGGCACTCTGATGAGAACACATTACTTAAGGGGGCAATCTGATGGGGACGCCTGATATAAGGAGGTACTCTTATGGTGGAAACTGATTTATGGGGGAAGTCTGATGGTGGCACCCAATGTAATAAAATTACTCTGGAGAGGGAACCTGATGTAAGGGGGAACATAATGGGGACATTTACATTTACAGAGTATTACCAGAGTGTGTGGAGGAAACAGTAGCAAAAGCACCAGAAAGCATGGCTTGCACCAAAAAAAGGAAAGTAGATGCTGAAAGATAAATTGACAGACCAATATATGTTTATTCTTCCTATGGGAAGTTTAAAACCAGTTAGTCTCATTTGTTGTGAAACCAATAATAAAAAGTAGCAATGTGAAGAAGCACTACAAAACAAAACACGGTTCATTTGAGCAAACATGTCCACAGCAGTCCCAGGTGAGGGCATGTAAAATAACTGAACTAAGAGCCCAGTATGACAGATCCACCAAAGTCCTCTCACATTCATTTACAGCCCAGCAGTGTGCAAATGAATGTTCACTTAAAATAGCATGGATTTTGGGGCAACACAAAAAGACCATTTACCGATGGTATGTTTGTAAAGGAGTGCTTGAATGCTGTTGCTGAACCTTTACTTGAGGGTAAACAAAAAGATGAGCTGTGTGATAAAAATGAACCAAATCCCACTGTCAGCTTTAACGGCAACAAAAAAGACTGAAATATTAACAGAGGATGTATCGCCACAGCTTGTTGCAACTATTCAGAGTCTCTTTAGCCATTGATGAATCAACAGATATAACAGATAATGTCCAGCTTTTGGTGTATGTCAAATTGTTTCACAAAGAAACAAAAGAACTTTGTAAGGACCTGTTAGATGTAACACCACTTGAGAGACATATAAGGAGGACAAGACATCTATGAGGCCAAAAAGGAAATAGGAGGATAGATCTGAAAAAGGTGGTCTAAGTCACACAGATGGTGCCCCTGCCATGGTAGAAAAGGAGAGAGGAGCTGTGGCACAGCTGAAAGAGGACAACCCTGACCTTACTGCATATCACTGCATCATTCACCAGATTGTCCTGTGCCATTCTATCAGAAACATTTGCAGAAATAATGGACACAGTAATGAAACTTATCAACTTCCTCAGGGTATCCTCATCCCATCAACATCATTTACTAAGAGAATTTCTTAGAGAAGTTGAGGCAAATGCAAATGACCTTTTACTGCAACGTTAGATGGCTGAGTAAAGGCAGTGTATTGGAATGTGTTTTCACTGTTTTTACAAGATGAGGGCACAATGGATAGTATTGCTTTCCCAGTAGACATAGCATCACACCTTAACCACTTCAATACCGGGCACCTTTACCACCTTTCTGCCCAGGTCAATTTTCAGGTTTCAGCACTGTCGCACATTGAATGACAATTGCGCAGTCATTCAACACTGTACCCAAACTAAAATGTTATAATTTTGTTCACACAACTAGAGCTTTCCTTTGGCGGTATTAAATCACTGCTGGGGTTTTTTATTTTTTTGCTAAATTAACAAAAAAAGACAGAAAATTTTGGAAAAAAAAACACAAAAACATGCTTCTTTGTTTCTGTTATAAAAGTTTGCAAATAAATAATTGTTCTTCATAAATTTAGGCCAAGATGTATGCTACTACATTTCTTTGGTGAAAACCATGCAAATCAGTATTTATTATTTAGTCTGTAGGAAAGTTATAGAGTTCACAAACTATGGAATATATCTGAAAATTGATCAATCCTGAAGTTTTGATAGCCAATCTAATTTTGGAGTCCCAAAAATGTCAGAACAGTACAGAAATCCCCCAAATGACCCCTTTTTGCAAAGTAGACAGTCTAACGTATTTCATAAGAGGTATAGTGAGTTTTTTGAAATTTTTTTGTCATAATTTTTTGGAAAATGAAGAAATTAAAAAAAAAAAATTTCACAATTTTATTTTACATACTGTCACCAGTGCAGTACAGACTCATCATATAACTGGTGTGGCGGTGATCAGGGACACTGACTGGTGACAGTGTGAAAAAAAAAATTGATAATTGTTTTTTTTTTTATTAAATTTGTTTCTCTTTTTAAGATTTTTTTTACATATTACACTATGACCATAGTAACATTGTACTACTTTGGGGAAGTGATCTGTATTTTTTTTTTTTTTTTTTACACAATTTGATTACTTATAGCAAAAAATGTATTTGCTATAGGCATTTAACTGAATTAAATCGATTAATTCAGGTTTTTTTTGTTGTGATTAGCCGTGATTGGCAATGGCTAATCACATGACACAGATGGGCTGTGATTGGCCCAGCCTGTGCAAGTGATCACTGACTATTCACAGCTAGACACACTTGTATACAATGGATGGCATGAAATGAAGCCATCCATTGTATACAACTGTCATGTGACCTTCTGCGATTGGTCACAGCAGGTCACGTGGTACTGGCAACGGGGCCGGTACACAGATCTGTCATCGGCCATGTCCGAGGTACACAGCCAGTGACAGATCTCGCCACAGCGCGGCCCTGTGGGCAGGCGCAATGCGCATGCCTGGAAGGACGCCATATGGCGTCCACCCGGAGGGACGAGCTGTTCGCCCAGCCGCCATCTGGCAGTAGTTAATGAACTTAATTTAAAGCTGCAGGGCAAGAACAGTTCAATGTGTGATTTGATGACAACTGTCCGCTCCTGCCAGAGAAAATTGGATTTGTTCAAGGAAGATCTTCAAGGAGAGTACTTACATTTTACAAAGGTGAAAGAACAGATTCAAGGAAATATGTTTCTCCTTTTGTTGACTTCATAAACTGCTTGGAAACTTCCATAAACAGTTTGACAGCTTCAGTTTTGGACAGCAGCTTCTACTGCTCATCCACAATCCATTCCTCATTAAAGATATCAGAATGTTTTCAAAGGAGGTGATGCAGACCTTCACTTGGGCACATGAGGAATCTCTACAGACAGAAATGATTGATATGCAAACAAATGTTGCACTAAGAGAGCACTTTGGAGGAACTGATCCTAACTTCTGGCTACAGACTGTCTGAAACTGAATTCCCTTGTCTAACCAAGGTAGCACTACACATCTTGACTAATGTTTAGATCTACGTACAGCTGTGAGTTGGCTTTCTCCACTATGAACATTATTGAAACTAAGTATCGTTCCAGGCTCACCAATGAGTATCTACAAATGTGCATGAGAATGGCAGTAATTCCATTTAAGCCAAAATTCAAACTACTGGCAAGACAATCAAAAGCCTATTTCTCTCACTAGACAGGGAAGGTAGAGGTGTTTAGAAAGGAAAAAATTTTAAAGAAAACAGCGGATGTGTGCAAGTTCAGATAGACACCTGTTATTTAAGTCAGAAGGTGCTATTTTCTTTTACATGAAATATGTATGTGCTTTTTATGTTTTATTAAAGGGTTACTTACTTGTTTCCATGTTGTTTCTGATAAAGATAGTTTATTGTATTCCATACAAAGACATGAGCAAATGTAAAGCCATTCTAGTTCCAACTGCACACATGTTTAATGTCATAACTGAGTCTAGACAATAAATATTGTTGAAATGCTATGGAAATTGTACATTTCTCATATTTTTATAGACCTATAATGACTACACTTTGAGTCATAGCACAAACATGAGATTCGGACCTCGGCCAGAAGACAATTTTAGTGACCGGACCTCCTTGAATTCAATACCACGGCTATAGGGTGTTGCTTGAGTGCCTTTTCTGAGTCTGCCAGGACTGTTGACATCACATCCAAGATGGTAGTTCCAGCAGTAACCTCAGGGATTCTGGATATCTACACAAGGGAGTCTTTTGCAGGTAAAAATGCAGAAAATACTTTAAATACACACATTTCATTATTTTACAGGAAGATTTTTTTAAATGAATGGCCTGGTGACAGGGTCTCTTTATGCTCATTTCTCCTGATCTGAAAATCTCTGCCCTCAGTGGAAAGCAATATAGCTGGCCATATATGACCCACCAAATACCAATATAAAGTTATTTCACTACCCTGCAAATATAAGGAAAGGATTTAGAAATTATATCCATGAGATCTGAGTTTGGACTACAATGAAACAGACAGGCTAACACACAGAATGTTCTATAGAGTTTTCTTTTATTTTACGTATCACAGCTGTACAATCTTCATACATACAGAGGGAAATGCACACTGCTTACACAGTGGCATTTGTCAGCATTTCCAATTATATTACATCAAGTGCAAATCCACTTATGAAATGTACATTTATACAAATTCGGATTGCTTCACTATTATCTGTGACTTTATAAAGCTTGTGTGTTGAAATTACTAAACCACTGTCCAGATAAATTAAAAAAAAAAAATGTTTTAAAATGGTCCCCTCAATATGGACCAAGAAACCGTATAAAACATCTGCCATGTAAAATGCAATCATTTGCATTGCTATAAAATAAGCTACAAAATTTAAACTGCTGGAATAATAATGTTATGGGCAAAAGTGGGATTCTTCTTTATCCAGGGTCAATATGTTTGAACTGAAAGACATAGCAGTGGTTACTAAGTCAAATACACAATTTAAAAAAAAATAGGATACAACAATATGCCACGGAGAGTGAAAAATAATGATGGGTTCAAAGTGACAAACTGTATGAAAACTAGTGAATGGACACAGTGCTTTAAAGAAAATTAGAAGTGCGTTAAATATCCACCACAAGTACTAAGTTTTCAGTCCTTTTATGCTATTGGTGGGGTCTGGAACACTGAGCTTTATAGAAGACATACATGGCATGGATGTTTAACCAGCTCACTAGGTAGGTTTATGGACAATCAACGCTATATAAAAAGTGATGTTATTGCTGTCTCTATAAAGTAAATAGATACATTCCTAAACTTACTGAAAAATATACAAATTGCAATCCAGATTACCTTCATTAAGTGTGCTGGGACAATAAATACAACATATTAGCCACCCACCCCCCCACCCAAGGTAAGCTTCTGTAAACTACCTATTGTATGCTCTCTCTTTTTTAGATTTCTCAAGTGCTTTACCCATGGTTTTCTCATTTTCACCTCTGCATTCGGGACAGTACCATTTACCTTTTGGTTTATGATTGAGTCCCACACAAGAAAAGTGAAACCACTCTATTGGGCATTCCTCGTTATCACATCCAATCATTTCCCCATAGGACACTTGATTACATAGGCAATAGGTGGGCTCATTGGGGTCTATAGGAAGATCTGCGGGAGAGGCTTCTCTCTCAGCCTTAGCTTTGGATCGCTTTTTCTTCTTTGATGTTTTTGGCTTCTTCTCTTTGGGGGTTCCTGTAGTAAGGTCATCATGGTCATGATTAATAGTTGAATTTTCTCGATTCTCATTGTTCCTCTGCCTTCTCGATCTCTTATTGCTGGATTTTTCAGTCTGCGAGATTGCTTCAGTTTTAGTCTTATCCTGGTTGTTTTTGCTGCTATTACTTGTACTGTCGTTTAAATCTTGGCATGTTTCAAACAGTTCTACATGACTGTCTACTTGCTTTGTTCTGTTTTCAACCAACTCCACCATCTGGCTTACTATTTGGATCTTGTCATCACCCAGCTCTTGACTCCGAATAAGAGCTCTCTGGATGAACTGCAAAAGGCGTCTCTTTTGTATTGCATCGGATTCACGTCTGAACTTTTCATAATAGTCATCCAGTTCCTTCAGGATCTCTGCAATAATAGCAAAAGAATGAGACAAAGGGAAAAAAAAAAAAAAAGTATCTTCATTACTAGCCAAAAAAATTAACTCTAGCTTCAAAAAAAAATTAGCTTTACAGCAGAAGTGTTGACATGACAAGAGAAAGATTATAAATAAGACTTTGCTTTAAAAGTATGTAATAATTTCAAATGTTGCAATAAGAATTAAACGTGACTGGAATGGAATGGAATGGAATTAGTGTAATTTTAAAGAAGCTATATTCTCTTATAGAAATAGAGAAAGTTATAGAACAGGGGTCCTCAACTTTTTAAACAGGGGGCCAGTTCACTGATCTTCACACTATTGGGGGGCTGGACTATAATAAAAAAAAAAAAAAAAAGAACAAATTCCTATGCACACCTTATTTGTAGTGCAAAAAAAAAAAAAAAAAAAAACAGGCAAAAACAATACAATATTTAAAATGCACTGTATACTGTAACACACTGGACACCGCAATGCACTTTACACTGTAAAGCACTGTACTGTGCATGGTGTGCTCTCCTCCTCCTCTCCTGTTGCTCCTCTGGCTGCAGAGAAATCAGCCTGAAGTCAAGGGGTGATTCTTCACCAGTCTGCCGCTCGCTGGGTCCTCACGGCCGAAGACCCATAGCTGCCTACCTATTTGCTGGTGAGGTTTTTTTTTTTTTTTCTACCCAGGTGGGTAAATTACTTTGGCAGGCCGCATCTGGCCCACAGGCCGAAGTTAGAGGACCCCTGTTATAGAAGAAAGTTGAACATGTCTGTTGCATTCTGTTGGCAAAGATTACTGGTAAAATACTTTATAAATGAGCCAAAGTCTCAAGAATATGTGAAAAATAAAAATTGAAAAAAAAAGTAATTGACCAGTGGTCAAATAAACTTTTTAAACTGTAGAAAAGAAAAACATGGAACTATTAGGCCCCTATGTTGATATTTCATGTGCTGTGAGAGCAAATTGAAGAAAAAAAAAAAAAAATCAGTAGAACAACCCTTTTATGCCAACATAGTGCTGCTTCTGTTTGCTATTTCACTGCAGTAGAACTTTATCTCTGAGGGGGAAAAGTGGCCCTATTGTAGTTCAAGAGGGTATAGAGAGTAGGCAAATAGCTGCAAACACATAAAAAGTAACAACATTTCTGCATGTTAATTTACACCAAGCAAGCTCTTTGATTTACAGAGGATGCACAGAGCAGGGATTTGAACTCCTTACTACAGAAAAGTATTTTCATTCAGTGGATGCCAAGTGCCTCTTGGTAGAGAAGGATAGGACACTGCTTTACTGATTTTATTTACCACTGATCAGGCCACAAAATGCGAATGTAACAGAATACTAGCTCGCACTGTCAACATCTCTGGAGTTCAGATACAGAATACTGTAATTGCTTATATTTTATGCAGGTTTAGTGATCCACAATTCATATTAGATTTGACTTTTCTGTTAAAATGCTAGAACTAGCTAACCAGAAAAGTAATTTTATTAAACCATAATAGAGACAACGTGAATTCTGGTATAAACTTTCTAAAGAACCAGTCTTAGTGCAGTATTGTGGGGATGAAAATATTTGAATCAGATTAGCTATTATGGGCAATGCAAAATCTTCTTCCAGATGAGCCTTTCTTAACCTTTTTACCCCAGAGGAACCCCTAAATTATTTGTTAAGTCTCCTGGAAAACTTACTAAAACCAGTTCATTGGATGTCAATGGCAAAAATGGTCTACACGGGGGGTCAATAGAAAGAATACAACCCTTAAACTAGCCATACATGGATTGAAATTTGACTGGTTCAGCAGGGACCAGTGGAATTTTGATCCATGTATGGTCACCCAGGTTGTACAGAAGTTGATCTACCATATTGTGCAACCAGCCTGTTGGCTTTATCCTGCTCAACTGATCATTGTATTCTGACAGCAGGGAAGGCTCCTTGCCATCACAACACAAAATAGCACAGCAATAAGGATTCCTTCATCCACCTCAAATGTGTGGACAGGGGAAGCGGATCATTTATTTTCGTTCAACTCGCCTGTGGAACAAAAATAAATAAATGATGAATGAATGGGCTGCCTTACAGTGGTCATCAGAATGCCATCCTTAAAGACAGCTAGGTAGCACTGGTCCTGGAACTATGCAAGCACAATCAAATCAGAGTCCAATCATCAAGGAACCCCTAGTAAACTCTGAAAAAACTCTTGTTGAGAATGGTTGCTCCAGATACTTGATCAGGCCAATGGTGAGAAGTAAAAACCTTATTTGTTCAAACAAAAAATAAATAAAGCAGCAATAAATAAACTTTTCTCAGCACTTTATTTTTTGTGCCACTCTAGAGGTGAGCAAAATGCAGAAGGCATCATAAACCACAGCATAAATTCTGCTCTTTCAGCTAATGTGTAGAGCATCAGCCTTTTAATAATCCAACTGTGAATCAGAGTTGTAGTACAAGTTCCTGTATACAATAGCAATGAGGATTTTTAGAACAATGGCTATGATTTCACTACACTGCCTGTACATTTTGAATTTGCTACCAATACTGTACATTTTGTTTGTACAATAAAAGTTTGGTTTTACTTTTCCTTCCTTTCAATTTTCAGCTTATGTATATTCAGTTATATTACAGAAGAATGCCTAATCTGTGTGAGAAAAAATGCCTAACGCATTCAAACATTAAGATTGCATATTAAAGATATTAACAAGTAAAATGAAAAAGTATGCATACTATGAACTCATCTCTGCAAATTAAAGGTGAACTTCAGCCAAAACAGGTAAATATGGGCGCAAAGACAAGTGATTCTCCGCTGTAGTCTGGGTCTGCCACCAACCACACTTGTTGCCACCCCTTACCTTGACATCACCATGCCACCTCTGGAGTCTTCAGAACACCACTGATCAGTTCAGTGGGAAGTGACATGGGCAGCCACAGAAATACCTTCCCACTCTACAGTGAAGAAGCAAGAAGAGTCAGGACTTAGTGGGAAGTGTCCAAAACACCAGGCAGTGTCATAGGCAGCCAAAGAACGATCTACCCACTCTACAGTGAAGATGCAAGAAGTCTCTGGACCCAGTGGGACGTGTCCAAAACACCAAGCAGTAGCACGGGCACCCAAAGAAAAGACTTACCCACTCTACAGTGAAGAAGAAAGAAGACTCAGGACCCAGTAAGAAGTGTCCAAAAAACACTGAGCAGTATCATGGGCACCCAAAGAAGGACTTACCCACTCTGCAGTGAAGAAGCATTAAGACTTGGAACACAGCAGATGATGTGACTTTAAATGTATGGAAGCACTTGTTGCATTTAGCTTTGTTTGGGGGGGTTGCCTGCCTGGATATCAACTCTAATCTACTGAGTATTTCTAGTGCTTAGTCTGTACCTGTAGCCAAATTAATTTAACAAACTACAGCTTTCTTGCAAGAGCTGGTACCTCCCAATGCCAGCATGGCTGCCGTCCTTTCTACATTGCCCTACGAGCCTCAAACCCAGGGGGCTTAATTATGAAAACATCAAGCTGATGTTTTGTGTTTCTCCCTTCTGCCTTTAAAACCTCCTCTTTGGTTTGTGAGGTAGCCCATCATGATGAAAGATTAAGAGTGAAGTACAGAAAACAAGGCCAAGTTTCTTGGATAAAATCTGCATTACTGAGTACTCCTGCAGCGGTCATTCATTAAGGATGCATATCACCCTGACACATGAGAAGTACTAAAAGGAGAGTGTACTGTCTGCATGTGAAAAATTATGAAAGTGTGGAGTGGCAAAAAAGAAATCTATAACAAAAAATATATATCTTCTGATCAATCTATAACTTCTAAAGGAATACATAATGAAGCAAGAGCTGCATTGTTACACTGTTTGCATTATTCTTTCCTGCTCAGCATAATATGACTTGCTGGACAGTCCTCAGATTAGTTGCTGCTGATTTTTCTCTACACTTGATTGACCATACAAACAAATGGGTGAAATTAAAAGGGTAATATACCAGTCATTGGATGTGGTGGCTGCATCAGTTTTTTAGGCTTTTTTTCCATCTGTTTTTACCTGGTGATCTGTCCAGTAACACACCTCCTGCATTAGAGTACCTCCACTCTGGATGAAGGAGCACAGGAGGCACATTTGGACAGCAGCGAAGTCAGTCTGGGAGGAGGATGGATTAGCAGATCTGGATACACTAACAAATTATACACATAATGTGGGACAGATCCTCTTTATTATACACACATTGTGGGACAGGTCCTCTTTATTAGTCTGTGGATATGCACACTGCAGGACTAGTCCTCTTTATTAGAGTAGTATGTGGGCACAGACATTGGGGACAGATCCTCTCTATTAAATGCGCAATTGGGTACAGATCCTCCTTATTATACACACATTGAAGGGGCACGTCCTCTTTATGGTAGTAGGTGGGCCCAGACATTGGGGGACAGGTCCTCTTTATTAAATGCACAATGGTAGACAGATCCTCTTTATTATACACACACATTTAGGGGGCACTTCCTCTTTATGATAGTAGGTGGGCCCAAACATTGGGGGACAGGTCCTCTTTATTAGAGTAGTATGTGGGCACAGACATTGAAGGACAGTTCCTCTTTATGAGAGTAGTATGTGAATACACACATTGGGGGGACAGGTCCTCTTTATTAGTCTGTGGATACGCACACTGGAGAACAAATTTTCTTTATTAGAGTAGTATGTGGGCACAGACATTGGGGGACAGGTCCTCTTTATTAAATGCACAATGGGGGACAGATCCTCTTTATGATACACACATTGGGGGCCAGGTCCTCTGTATTATTATTGTTATTATTATACAGTATTTATAAAGCGCCAATAGTTCGCTCAGCGCTGTACATTATTATACACACATTGAGGGGCACGTCCTCTTTATGATAGTAGGTGAATACACACATTGGGGGGACAGGTCCTCTTTATTAGAGTAGTATGCGAGGACAGGCCCTCTTTATTAGAGTAGTATGTGGGAATGTGGGGACAGACATTGAAGGACAGTTCCTCTTTATGAGAGTAGTATGTGAATACACACACTGGGGGACAAGTCCTCTTCGTTAGAGTAGCATGTGGGCACAAACATTTGGAGACAGGTCCTCTATTTAATGCACAATGGGGGACAGATCCTCTTTATTATATTCACATTGGGGGATAGATCCTCTTTATTAGAGTAGTATGTGGGCACAGACATTGGGGCACAGGTCCTCTATTATATGCACAATGGAGGACAGATCCTCTTTATAGAAGTATGTGAGCACAGACATTGGGGGACAGTTCCTTTTTATGAGAGTAGTATGTGAATACACACATTGGGGGGATAGGTCCTCTTTATTAATCTGTGGATATGCACACTGGGGGACAAGTCCTCTTTATTAGAGTAGTATATGGGCCCATACACTGGGGGACAGATCCTCTTTATTAGAATGGCATGTGGGCACAGACATTGGGGGACAGGTCCTCTATTTTATGCACAATGGGGGATGGATTTCTTTATTAGAGTAGTGTGAAGGGCACAGACATTCGGGAACAGGTCCTCTTTATTAGAGTAGTATATGAATACACACATTGAGGGGACAGGTCCTCTTTATCAGTCTGTGGATATGCACACTGGGGGACAAGTCCTCCTTATTAAAATGGTATGTGAGCACAGACATTGGGGGACAGGTCCTCTATTATATACACAATCGGGGACAGGTCCTCTTTAATGTACACACATTGGAGGGACAGGTCCTGTTTATTATACACACATTGGGGGGACAGGTCCTCTTTAATGTACACACATTGGGGGGACAGGTCCTCTTTAATGTACACACATTGGGGGGACAGGTCCTCTTTGAATGTACACACATTGGGGGGACAGGTCCTCTTTAATGTACACACATTGGGGGGACAGGTCCTCTTTAATGTACACACATTGGGGGGACAGGTCCTCTTTAATGTACACACATTGGGGGGACAGGTCCTCTTTAATGTACACACATTGGGGGGACAGGTCCTCTTTAATGTACACACATTGTACACACATTGGGGGGACAGGTCCTCTTTAATGTACACACATTGGGGGGGGGGACACAGGTCCTGGTCCATTCAGGTTATTAATGTACACACATTGGGGGGACAGGTACACACATTGGGGGGACAGGTCCTGATTAATGTACACACATTGGGGGGGGACAGGTCCTGATCATTGTACACACATTGGGGGGACAGGTCCTGATCATTGTACACACATTGGGGGGACAGGTCCTGAGGTCCTCATTGTACACACATTGGGGGGACAGGTCCTGATCATTGTACACCATTGGGGGGATCCTGATTGTACACACATTGGGGGGACAGGTCCTGATCATTGTACACACATTGGGGGGACAGGTCGTCTTTAATGTCCACACATTAGGGGGACAGGCCCTCTTTATGAGTAGAATAGGGCTAGAACAGTAGTATACAGTGGCATGGACACAGACTGTACCAAAGTGAGTGTTCCTCCTATGGAGGAAGGTAAACAAAGGCCATGTAGAGAGCTATGACATGAGGATGTACGATCCCAGGACTTTAAGAACTTCCCCAGACAGATGATGCAATGTGGATCTTCTACACACTATCAGGACATCCCTAGGAGCCGGCTCTGTCTGGGATCCCCCGTGTGTCTGCACATAGGGAACAATGACCACAAAGATGTCATCGCTCAGCACTCAATCCCCAGACCAGAGAACACCATCTACTTCGTCCAAGCTGCTCCTAGGAAGCCCCTGCCTCCTACCCCCATCCTCGTAGACATGGTGAACACACACATCGTGGAAAGAAGAGATCTACAGCAGGGAGAACGCCACAAAGCCTCCTCCACATCTACACACACAGCTGGCTGCAAAATAATATTCACCGTCAATGGCACTTCATCACTTGCCCGCATCAAAGATGGCCGCCCAACACTTGCCTACGTTCGTTCTATTTGTGTCTAGAATAGATCAGATTGTCTTTTAGGAAAGCAGAAAGACTAAAAACGCCCATCGGTCGTCTGACAGCCAATACGGTCACGGGGGCCGGGCACAAAGATTTAAATGAACATAGAGGTGTCGAAGCTAAATGGCGACAGGGCGGGACGAAGGAAGCAGCAAATAACAAGATAGGCAGTCCCCGGGATGGTCTAAACTACAAAGCGCAAACCAATCAGGAACGGGGGGCGGGAGATACAGAACGACGTTTACGAGGCCCCCATTATAAAAAGCTAGTGTGCAAGCTAGCCAGGTTAAAGCGCGGCTGGCGCTGTGAAAGAAGGCAGGGATGCACTTGCCGGGAATGAGCCTTCTTCGTGTATTTTTCCTCTTATCAGTTCCCAAGACACGTACAAATCACTGCTTCTCTCCCCGCTCTGTGTACCGTCACCTTGCACGGGTTAGCACGGCTGTACCGGCTGATTGTCCGCACTTTCCTGCAATGGCAGGTCTACGGTAATCTGGCCACATATGGCGTTAGGATGAAGGAAGGTGGTGGGGCGGTAGGGTGACCCGCTCCGGGTGTGGGGAGGAAGAAGGAAGGGGGGGCTAGTTAGCGATCGGCGCAGTGCGGCCCCGGCACAGTCATAGATTTCCTAAAGTGTCAGTCAGCCCGCATCAATGTCATCCCTGTAAAGTCCCGACGTGTCCGACCCCAACTTCCCACCGAGGACAATGCGGGGGGTAAGCCGGCTGTCCGTGTACACAGCACTGCGGCCAACGGGGGGCTGCGTCTCCAGAAAACAAGTGATGGGGGGGCGATAAACAAGGCTGGATCGCAAAGAACACAATGAACAAAATGAAGCAGAGGAAACCCTGCCCACCACTACTGCACAGCCTCAGCTTTTACTAGCACCACTTACTACTCCAGCCATCAGAGATCCCAGTGTTGTGTGCTGTAATCCAGCCCCATCATCGCCCCTCCATCTCTCCTCTTGTGTCCAGGTGACTTTCCCCATGGATGATCCCCCCATAACAGGGGACCTTTTGTTCCGCCCTATGACACAAGTGTGTGTAAAGTCCCCTGTACATGGACGAATGCAGGCTGAGCACACACAATGCAGCATGGACAGATCTGGGAATGGAAGGGGGGGATGATAAAAGTTGAAGCACCTACCTTGGTATTTGGCATCGATCTCCCTCATCAGAGAGACATTTCTTTGTAGATCGAAGGGCAGGGACTCGATGGAATCCAGGTAATCCTCTACATAGTTCACCATGTGGCTCTGATCACCGTTGGTAGGGTTCAACATCCTGTACCGATCCAGCGTCCAGCCCCCAGCCAGCAGCCTCCTGCCAGCTCCAGGATCCAGCCTTCGTCCCCGGTACCGGGAGAAGAAGAAATCCGTGCCAGCCCCAGACACACAAAGGAGACCTGTGCCTGGGCATCAACCTGAGCCTGGCATGCAGGGAGACTCGGCGATGAGGGATAACAGAGAGGGAAAGTGCAGTGCAGTGGTCGCAGCTGATTGAACGGCTGTCTTTCTGGACAACTCAGGGAAGAAGACAGTGGAAGGAGGTTGTGGGGTGTGTGTGTGTGTGTAGAGGGGGTGGGGAAAGAGGTGGGGGCTGGAGGACAGAATCTAGCAGGCAGGAAGATGAAGCCTGGCAGCCCGATGGTGGCAATGAAGAAGAAGAAAAGTGTGTGTGGAGGTGTGCCCGCCCGCTCGCTGCCCGGGGTTGTACAAGGTGATTGTGTCTGGGGAGGAGGAGGGGGTCCTCCGGCTAGGACTGCGGCTCACCTTCCCTGCACACTGACTCCACCACACAGCACACAGGTAGCGCCAGTTTTACACACTTGGGAAACATTCAGCTCCCCCACTCTTCCTCCTGAAAATGGCGAGCATGCGCAGTGTGCCCTCAGCTAGTTCCCTTCACCATTCAAGCGGCTCGTTTAGTTTATATTCGGCGCAAGGCCGCTCCTGCCGACCCCGCACAGGGCCCCAGTCAGCTGTGCTATAGGCAGCTAACACACACAAAGTTACACTGGAGTCAATGGTACTCGTGCACTGTTCCTGAACAGGGAACGAGCATGACATTATGACAGCGCAGCTTCTTGTCACTGGAAGACTACTAATCCCAGCAGCCACCAGTCTCGCACCACTAACCAATCGCTGGAACGCTTTGCCGTTCGAAGGCGGGGTCATGCGGCGCGCACACCCGCAAATCCCCAATGCCACAGAGCGGTCGGGTGGCGCGCGGCGCGTTCCTGCAGTGGGCGGGACGAAATCCAGAAGGACGGAAGTTGCTATAGTAAAGCGGGGCGTGTGCTTGTGGAGAGTGGGCGGTCATTCGCCAACCTTAGTAACCATGACAACAACGCCAACAGCCCAGCCTGGATGCTTCAGTGGCGGGTTGGGAGGAAGCGGGAAGGAGGGGTTAATTATGCTGAGTGGGCGGAGTTTCTGAAAGGAGGAGAGGCGGACCTGCTGAGACGGAAGAGGGCTGTGAGATGGTTGTGTAGTGTGAGGACCAGCGAGTGGGGCGTCTCAAAGAAGTATTACACCCAGGAGAAGACATTACATTGCAGCTAACCAGTCCTTGGATGTGATGGCTGCATCAGTTCTCCTCTTTACCCTGGGTTCATACCTAAGCGTTTTCCAGAAACGCAGAACAGTTCATTTAACATCATTTCAGATGGGACACGTTCTCACCTGGTGCGTTTTTTGAAAAGGGTCAGGGACTTCTTTGAACGCAAAAAAGTTGCGTTTTTGGTTCTATAGACTTCAATGGAAACGATGCAGAGTAGCATGTCTTGCGTTTTTGCTGCGTATTTTATGCATTTTGCATTTTAAATTTGCCTAGCAACAAGAAAAAAAAAGCATCAAAAACACAAGTGCAAAAACGCAAAATACAATGCAGAAACAGCCTATAATGCAACCTACATAGGTGTGAACCTTGCCTTAAAGATTTCTGTTTTTATCTGGAGATCTGGCTAGTAAGCAGGGTTGCTGTCAGTACATTTTTGGACTGTGTAAAAATCGGTGATTTTAGTCCTCATGGACGTTTTTGGCTTCAGCTAGTAAATCCCCCGGCATGTTATCCTATGTGTCCATGCACATTAATGCAGGCCATTGACGGGTCGAAAATCGGGCGAAAAAAAATTGGCCGATTTTTGCACCGTTAAGTGGTTGGCCGTTTTTCGGGGTTTTGGCACATTTTTTTTTATCGGTAAAGTTAGAAAAAAAAATCTGCCGATCGGACGATTTTCCCGGCAATGATGGGCAAATCGGCCGATCGTTTTACCGATCAAAAAATCTGCGCATGAGCCGTGACCTGCAAGAAGAAGAAAAGGGAAGAAGAAAAAGAATTCCAGTCCGCTATTATATTTTATATGAAAAGTCTTGTGGTTGCAACAGTGTATCTATTTGTATCCGAATAAACACATCTGTATACGGAATGGATACTTTGTTGCAACTGCAATACTTTTTAATGTCAACTATAATAGCGGAGCTCTCTGCAAGGGACAGAAGTAATTAAATGCCGGCCGTAGACGGGACGAAAATCGGCCGATTTTTTTTTTTTTTTTTTTTTACCGTTGGTGGTAACGTCGGCTGATTGAACGACCGATTTTTCTTTTTTTTTTTTTTTATAAAAAAACAGCCAGTTTTTGACCCATCTATGGCCTGCATTAGACTGAAATCAATGTTTTTGGCTGTAAATAAAACCCAGGACAAGTGGGTTTCTAGAGTAGTTTCTTAGCTGTAAAAACGCTCTAACGCTGAAAAGCACTGCAAACCGGCGTTTTTGAATTTTTTTTGACCAAAAAATATTTTTTTTATTTGATGAAAAAAAAAAATGCTAAAAAACAAATGCGGCTAAACGCTAATACAAAAACGCTAAAAAAAAGCTGAAAAACTCCAGTTTTAACGTGACTTAACACAGCTAACATTACCAGCGTTATCAAAACGTCCAGTGTGCATGGAGCATTACAACTGTAAGGTCTTGTTCATACCATACGTGCAAAAAAAATGATGGAAACTGATGTGCAGATTTCACTTGCAGAGACATCAGATTATATCAGTTTTTATGCACGCTTCAATGAGTTTTACACCCCAGTCACTCCGGGTGTGACTTGCCATGTAATATGCCATGCGATTTGCAAATCACATGGCATGTCTCACCCTATTGTCCGCAGTTAAAGTGGTCATATCGGTGCGATTCCGATTTGCTTGGAGCCGCACCGATTTCTAAAGTAGTGCATGCAACACCTCAGGTGCAAATTGCATATACATCTAGGCAGATGTCTTGCAAATCGCACCTCAAGTCAGATTGGTGTAACCGGGGGGGGGGAGGGGGGGTTATACACATTGCAGATTCCTGTGCAGAAAAAATCTGCACGTGACTCTAGTGTTGTGGTGTGAACAGGGCACATAGAGAACAATTGATTTGTATTCTTGCAGAACGCGGCTAAAAACTGATGTTTCTGCACACTGGTGCGAACAATCCCTTAATATCAGTGGCTGATAATTTGTCATGCAGTGTTGACTTTGCAAGTGTAAACCAGGGACCAGACTTGTTCTTGGTATTAACCGCTTTCCCACTGCTCGATAGGAGAAATATTGCTGCAGGGTGGCAGGGGTGTGCAAAATCACATATATATACGTGATTTAGAATTTCCGGGTAGGGGGCGCGCACGAATCCTACTCACACCACCATTGGCGGACTCACCTGGCAATCTTGGGGTCCCGGAAGGTGATTCATCGCCGTCACCTGGCGATTGCTGTGTTATCACCAACAGGGAAAGAGACCTGCATGTAAACAACACAGATCTCTCCCCTGTCAGCTCCTGCACACTGCTTTGTATGGCTCTGCATAGCAGAGCCATACAAAGCAGTGTGCTTACAGTGTAAAGCACACACACACAGTCCCATAGTAAAACAGCACACAGTTAACCCTTTGATCGTCCCAGATGTTAACCCCTTCCTGTCCAGTGTCATTAGTACAGTGTCAGTGCTTTTTATTTGCACTAATCACTGTATTGGTGTCACTGGGGGGATGTCTGACAGTCAGTTCCCCCAGTGTCAGAATGCCTGCCGCAGTCCCATTCAGGGGGGTATTTACCATAAGGCAAACAAGGCACTTGCCTAGGGTGGCATTTTTCAGGGGGCAGCACCTCCCCCAGAAGAAGGGATGAAAGAAGGAATACACACACCATGAGAAACAGGTGGAATCTGAGAGAGGCTGAGGGCTGCTTGATGGTGTATGTAGAGCCTGACTCTCATTCCTGGGGATGTCCGAAGCTGTGAAGATGAGTGTCTTCCTCTCTATCGCCGGGGGGGGGGGGGGGGGTAGTGGAAGGCTCTTCCAGGTGGGGGGCAGGAGTGTTGTTGGCCAATGTCAGGCTCTCTCCGCCAGAGGGGGAAGGGGTGGGTAGGTGTCCGTAGGGGCATGCGATTTTTGTGTTGCCTAGGGGCAGCACAAAACCTAAATACACCACTGGTCCCAGTATAAGTTGCTGATCGCCATCATTACTAGTACAGAAAAAAAAAATTCCAGTATCTATACCGCCATTTGTAGACGCTATAACTTAAAGCAATTAATTTACATGTATTTAAACAACATGTAGCAGAATACATTTTGGCGTACATTTATAAGGAAATTTGATTTTTTTTATTTTTTTACTAGATATGTTTAATAGCAAAAAGTCAAAAATATTGTTTTTTTTTCTCAAAATTTTTTATAGTGCAAAAAATAAAAAACACACAGGCAATCAAATACCACAGAAATAAAGCTCTATTTGTGGGGAAAAAAGGACATCAATTTCATTTGGGTGCAGTGCTGCATGACCGCACAATTGTCAGTTAAAGTAACGCAGTGCCGTATCACAAAAAATGGCCTGGTTAGGAAGGGGGATAAATCCTCTAGAGGGCAAGTGGTTAAACAAAAATATAGTGTCCAATGAACATTCAAGGACTTTCATTTCATAATATATCTGCAAAATCTTCTCGAAGTGCTCCGTGCTCAAAAGGATTAATAAAGTGACACGTGCTCTTAAAAAAGTGCTCTTGAGAGGTGCTTTTCCTTTTAGTGACCCCCTCAGTGACCACACTCACCAGATTTGATGGACCTCTTGCTTTCACAATAGAATCAAACTGCGCTTTATCTGGTGGTGGATATTTCTTTCCTTTTGCCTTTCTGCTGCTTAACAGTTCTTCCTCCCAGCCATATCCTTAACGTTGGATATCCTATACACTCATGGGAACCAAGAGGAGAGAGGATGCCCTCATAGTGTAATACTGTCTTTATTTGT